GAAAAAGAAATATTGGTTATAACAAAGATAATATTTGATGTGAAAGGAGGAGGAAAGTTTGAACTGTGCTAGCCCACTCTTTCCTGATTTACATGTATACACACACACAGTAACAACATTCTTCTTGCCTTATGGATCTATTTTCAGTGCAAGATTTCATTCCTTTTTAGTGCTACTGTACTGTGTCCTTACTATCTCTCAGTTCTGATAAACATGAAAAAAGTAACAAAGACTAATATCTTTGATAGGGATATTAAATTATACGCTTCAGCCTTAAGCCAATCTCTAATGATTAAAGACAAATAATATGCAACAGATGGGAAAAGATCATATCTTTCAGCAGAAGAGAACAAATTATATTCTAAAAGACACTGTGAATTTCCTTTTTCTTTTCTGGGAATGGCGAGTAGGACTGAAGAACTCTGCTTTCATCAACCGTAGCTGTGCATTCCTATGATGAATTGGCATGGTGAGATGTGTTAGAGACACAGGGAGATACAGAGACCAGAATAAAAGCAGACAGAGAAAGACAAAGATAATGTCAACTCCATTTTTTTTTTTTAAAAGAAGCTTTACATTACAGATTAAACTCAGATACTTGCTAATGTAAGCTTCTACTCTGCAGTTACTTGTAAGAAATCAAACACACTGCAGGCAGTCACAGCCACAACACTAAATTCAAGGGCACCTGCATACCACAGATGCTTGCACACCAACATTAACAGACATGTTTTACATCAGCCAAAATTCAGAGCTCTAAACCTATTCCACAACTTGACTTTCATATTCTCCACTTATTTCATACTTACTGGAAAAAAAAATCTGCCTTAGTTTTAAATTAATCACATTAAGTTGATATTAGAAAAAATGATTATCTCCCATTTTTGATCAGGCCAGAAGCAAGCATTTTTTCAGTAAATTTCCCCTCTGTCTTCTACTCTTCCACACTGCAAACGAGCTGATTAGGGTAGGCAAAAGATTCAACAGCACTATGAAAACAAATGTAGTGAGTCTTCTAGACAGCTTTCACTCAGCAACATCCTACATGACCACAGTAAAATCTACCAGGACCCCCAGCAGGGTCAATGCAATTAAAACCTATTACAGATATAAAAAACACCTTTTTTATTTATGGCAGAAGCTATGTTTTGCCTGTAGCATAATAAAGGAAAGTACTAATTGAACAAGTGTAACAGTATCTTGCTAAAACTAAGTGATTCCAACATTATAAAAACAAAATACTATTTTGCTAAGTTTCTCATTATCCTCCATTCTGTAATGATAAGAGAAAGGCTTCCTTGAAGTGAAGGGAGATTTTTAGAAGATTTTAAGATTCTTAGTAGACAAGAAAAATTGCACAGAATTATCATCCAGTACTGTAATTATCCCAAAAATACCTTTGAAAGACAGTATCGAGCACTTTCACAGTGCCCAAGGAGACTCAATTATGTGCTTTGGGAACTGCTGGGTCAAAAGAGTATTGTTATTCTCAGCAATTACTAGAGGCAATGATTTAATCCCCTTAATAAAATTCTTAATGTTCAAAAATGCCCTGCCAAAGGAATTATCTTATGTCAATGTGATTAAAGTCAAATTTTTCACTGTTATTTACTACAGTAAATTAAATGTTAAGACGAAGGGAAAAAAAATCCTCATGTAGCAAGCTAATTTCAAGGAAATTAAAGAATTAACAGAGATTTTTAAGCTTATTAAGATCTAAAACTAACTTGGAAACTCAAAAAAACCACTAATTCAAAATCCCTGCTCCCACAACAAAGGCATGAAATACTTTCCTTTAAATGAGAAAAAATTGATGATGATTTAAATGTTTTGGAACTCGCTAGGCATTCCTGTAGTCTATATACATTCACATTAAACTCTTTGAAAAACATTATACTACACTTCAAAGTACAAAGAAGCAAAGAATTTAAAGGCCTGTGCCTTGTTAAAAAAAACTAGACTGAAATTTAATAGCATCATTACATGTCGCTGCACAGATATTCTTTCCCCTTCAGTTTTGTAAATGTAATCTGCGTTCGTTTCAGATTCTCAAAGTGTGCCCTCTCTGGGATGCAGTGATGCTGATTTGTGATGGGTTGTGTTATGCGGTGCGGTGGCAGTTTACCTTGCTGACATTCCAGTACAATTTACTGAAGATTAGAATCATTTTGTCAGGTAAATCAAATCAACAGCTAACTTATAAATACACACCAAGGGATTTAAGTGACTGAGTTTCAGACAGCGAGCTCTGAAAGAAACATTCTCTTTCCTGGATTTGCTGCTCGGTGAGTACAATATTGAAAGTGATTTCTGGATGAGTGGAATTCTAATAGAAAATAAAATCATTAAAAATATATATATTTTTTCAGGTCCAGATACAAAACTACAGGCATGATGTCTTGTAGTACCCAGCAAGTTACATAACCAGTGATGCTCACACATGCAAGTTCTGTAGAGGTCAGACGCACTGTTCTGTCCATTATGTCAAACCTGAAACAGGTGGAATTGAGTTCAGATACCACATGCAACATTTCCTTTTCCAGCTTGAAATTTTAGATTATTTTTAAGACATGCCTGCTGCTTTGTCTTCCATGTACATTAGCTTTTTTAAAAAACATCAGCTGAACATGTCCTGCAACTATAGAGCACATCAAATTGATGAATTGAGCCCAGCTTGCAACATGAACAATGTGCCCAAGCAGGACTTGTTAAATTCTCAGTCTTACAAAAATCTGTAACCACTTCCAGTTCAGATGAGACCCATCTCACACTAAAAGCAGGTAGAGATCACTCCCATTTATTTTATTCAAACACAGCAGGACTTACGCAGGATTAAATGATATCACAAAGAACTTGAATGAGACCATACTGACTCGTACATCTTCAGAGCATGGATTGTATTACAGACACCTCCTCTGAAGGAACTGCTATGTGTGGAGAAAGTGTTCTCCACTCCCTGACATAAGCACAGAGCTGTGCTATTGCAGAAGCTTTTCAGAACTGGTTTACAGCTTAAATGTGTTAAATGTAAGCAATGAAATGGACAGATAGGTATAGGCAACGTACAAAGTGCTTAAAATCCTAATCATAAGAAAAGTCCTTATAAGAAAAGCAGTGAAGACAGAAGCTCTGAGGATTTTACTTTCCTATTAGTGGCTTCATCTCTCCTATCATTATCAATTTACCTTCAAAGAAAACTGACAAAAATCTCTGGAACATATTAGTTCAATGCATTTGCCTTGCCACCAATGCCAATTAGCATTTCTTTGTTATCACCTACTTCTTATGATCTTCTTTTACTGCCATTCCAAACAACAAACATCATAATTGAAGATACTCTCAGACTTTCAAGTCATAAGTGAAATGAAAAATGAATAGCATTCAATATAACCACAATGGATTAAATGGACAGAGTGAATTGGGCTTTCTGAAAATTCAAAAAGCTTTATTGTTGAATCAGTTTTTGTTTACCCTGCAACAATGATGCATAGAAAAGAAACAATCTGACCTAACATTTAAAGACAAGTTTCCTTGCACTGAGGTCCTTTTGTCCCAGAAAGGAAGATTAGACCTAGATAATTAAATGTGCACTTTGCAGCAGCTACTAGGAGGAATGACAGTGCACTGGAATTACCATTTGCAGACACCTCATCACCTTGAGAAAAGAGCTGCACATGTTTACAGCTGGTTCATCCCCAGAAGATTTGTCACAAGTGATGAGGAGATAACTGAAACTATTTGTCAGAATATCCTAAATAAACGAGTTCATTACATTTTAAAGATTTCAATATCATACAAGCTATGCTTAATGAAATACATGAGATCATGCTAACCATTGTCAGAAAATAATGACTTTCCCAGGAAAATTAGAAATATATTCATAAAAAAAATTACTTATAAGCTGGAACTCAACTTCTGATGTTGAACTTGGCTCAGAGCACAGCAGAGAGCAGAGCTGTCCCAGCCCTGCAGCCAGCAGTTCAAAGCAGCCCCACGCTTCCAGCACCATCGTGCTGCAGCCAAAGGTACCCAGCCCATTCCTGCTGAAAGCAATTCAAGCAGCCCCCAGCTATACACCTCTTCAGCTCTAACACACCAGGAGCCACTTGGCTGAAGGTGTCATTGGTATTACAGCCAGCACTGAAATAGTAACTATGCTGTCAACAGTCACTGACATCCTTACCTATTGTAACAGATAAGCTAAATCCTGCAGACATGGAGGGAAGAGCCTTTAGTGCCACACTGAAGATCAGATTAGTTGCTACACTGAGTGAAAAGACTGCTGGCCCCAAGCTCCAAGTGACTGCTCCCCATCCTCTACTTGCTCCAATAGGTCAAAATCCATTTAACTAAATGCTTGAGAAGGTTTTTTTTTTTTTTAAATATATATTAGCAAAATGGTAGCTAACACCTTTTGATTCAGATGCAAGAGGAGCAGAAATGACAGCAGGGACCACCACCCCTATGGGAGCAGCAGTTATAGTCCAGCTCACAGGACCAAACATACTGCTTGTCTTGCACTCTTCTTAGTGAACTTCAGGCACAAGAACTCCCTCATCCAGTGAAAAGAAAGGGAAATAACTAGCTAAGGAGGAAGGCATGCTCACTCTAAAGGGCTCGGTGATTATGCAGATAAGATGCATTTATTTCCCTTTGTACTTTACAGTTCAGATATAAACGAGAGCCATTATTGAATACAGCTCTTGTCAAAATACTCTCCCTAAGTCTTTATTTCCATCTTCTGTATCTATTTCCAGCATGCATTAAAATAAATTGGGTTCATTGGCACCAACTCTGATCTCTAACTAATGCTATTTTCACATCTAAAAATAGTTCAAGTTTGTTTATAGCATTGTTTCGTCTAACAAACTTCTGATGTCAACCAACATCACAGAAAAAGAATCAATGACCAAGGCCTAGATTGTTTTCAACCATAGACAAAAAAGTTTGACAAGACTAATGATAAATCAGGATGACTATGCAAGAAAGTCTCTGGAATGTACTGGCGTTTCAATTTTACTAAGGAATAATAAACAGCCTTGAGGAATAATATTTCCATATGACAGCTGTGCTGTGGAAGGGGGGAGGGGGTGCATTTCAACTGTAAGAGCTGTCTTCACACCAACTTGCTTCAGATCTTCAACATTTGGACCTTGTACTTCCATGGCTGAAATGGCACGGATACAGAAAGTTGTTACCATCCCAGCCCAATAGCAACAGCTAGGCCTGTCCTATACCTATATCTTCCGTGTAGCCACAACAAAAGAGAAATTGTTATTTTTTGGGATGTTAAACTGTTTCAAGAATTCAGTAGCTACATTTTGAAATCATTTATGGAAGTAAATAGTACTATCATTTTCTGTGGAAAGTACTTTTCATCCTCTTTTTTTTCAATCTTCATTATTTTCCTTTCTAATAGCTCAGTTTCAACACAGAAATTCTGCCTTTCTATGCCATGGCTGCTACTAGAGAGATTTTTTCCAATTAAATCAGGAAACTCTGACTCTTAAGTATATCCAGAAAATTAGATCTCACTTCAAGAACTGTTTTTTTTTTTTTTCACTGAGACAGCATTCCCTTTACCAGTACCATTGCACAATTTAAGTTGACAGTAAAACATAATGAAATTTAACAGGTTAGTTCATTTTAAAAGTCTGAGCAAAGTCAAATACTGGAGGTGTCCCGGAGTGTACCAACAGAGGGAAGATGCTTATCTCAGAGGCCCCAGAAGGAACTTCCTTTTGTGCAGTATCTTCACAATCCATTACACACATCTGAAGCTCCAAAACCATCTCTAACATAAAGGTAAAATCAGAAAGCCTTAACTCTTTACCTTTGTTTTTCCCCAACCTCCCCCACCCCTGAGTCAGTTTAGAGCTGGTTTGAAGATACCACCATGAGAAATCTTGAAGCCCTATCTAAAAAAAAAAAATAAAAAAAGTGATACCATCTGCAGTCAGAACAGCTTACCAAGTGCCACACCACATGAGTACAGCATCAAGGCACTGCTCTCCAGTTCTGTGCCATTCTATGCAATGAATCTAGCAGTAAAAACAAAGAAGTAGCTCACAGATGCTATTTACAGCCTGTAACACCATAAAAGATGTAAGCAGTAGTTTGGGTTAGGTGAACAGTCTATCAGGACAGGCTCATGTGTGCACAGTGACCCAGGATACCGAATGCTGTTGAGTCTATGGTGCGTGTACTTTTCCTTCAAATTAACAATTCCATGTTTCTCCACATCTACATATCAATGGCTGATCCTTTGCTGCTAAAATAACCTTGAGTATACGTACAGCATTAAGCAAAGGAAGATTAAATGCATTTTGAGAGTGTGGTAACACAGCAGTTCACCAACTTAGCACACAAGAAATGCTCACATCAGTGAGAATTCCTTTAATAATACTGAACAAGATTAAGCATTAAACCAGGGATGCAAAGGGTACAGTAATGCTGATCCACAACTTAAAAATGGACGTGCTAACTTCAACCCAGCACTATCAAAAAGGGCAGTGTAACAGAAAAGGGATCCACAGATTTGTTATTCATCAAGTCCTTTCATAAAATAGAATTTTTATGACTACAATTTGCTATTAACTCATTTTTCAATTCACTGCTTCTGAAGGAGCAGAGAAACATGAAAATACTATTTTTAGCCTGCTTTTATGAAATGCTTATCAAGGTCAAGCAACACAATTTGAAGAGTGAAATATGTTATTCATTATAACGCATTTCATTTTATGCTGGTCAGAAACATTATTTTTAAGAAAACCTACCCCCACACGTGCTTTAGTTGCACTGAAGTTTCAGTTAATTGTTTTTCTTTTTCCTGTTAAGACTTAAGTAACGTCTGGAAATTCCCTCTGGCCACTTCCATCCAGCACACACAAGCTTGCTGCCATTCCTTGTTATCTGCCACTCACAAATGGAAGTTTAAACAAGCAAATTTAGTGTGGGACATCCTCACAGCTCCATATGACATAATTTCATAGCACTCATTTCTACCACACACATACCAGAAGCTCCTTATTAAGTGAAGGCATGCTCCCAGAGAGTGACAACACGCAGGGCACCGACCACCCTCTCTTCCTGGAGCCCAGGAAGGCTACCCCAGCTTTTTGCATGTATTTAACCTGTTAGATCACTTCTGCATCAACCAATAACTGATGCCAGATGGTTTTTCCTCATGCTTGAAGGAAGTTTCTTCCCTGCTCCCACCTGACAACACATCTCCAGCAGCAGACAGCTATCCAGACACACTGACAAGGACCTGGCTCCAGGTCCCATATCTTCCTGTTGACAGAGAGTCTAAAACCTTGCCATCACTATTTGCATCATCTGACCTTGCTGCAAGCAACGCATCTCACAGATAGGGGAAGGTTTTCATCCCACAACAGGCTGAAAATAAAGGTCACAGGAAGAATAATCAGAAAAATAGGGGCCACAAGTGAAAAGCAATCAGAACCAGCAAACTTCACACACCTGAAAGTTAAACCCGAGACTGAATTTGTTCAGGCAGCAGTGAGAAACATTTCATTACTTTTGTGCCTAGCTACACGCACGCAAGGAGAAAGCCAATATACAGATATATGCACACATATACTTAGTATGCTTGTATTAGCAAAGTATTTAAGAACATAGTGTGGGACTATCAACAACAGAAATTTTTGTGCAGTTTTAGCTACGAGCAGATGCCTAGCCCATAGTGCAGAAGCAACATGTACATCACATTTCCCTTAACAATTCAAGAACTTCCAGCTACAGGCTGCCCTACACTCGCAGCAGTCACCATGCATCAGCAACCACAGTGGCTGCCTTTCCTGTGAAGTTACTATTGGGGGGAGGAGCTCACAGCTCAGCCAGTCTTTGAATGGCAGCTCAGCCCTTCCTGGCTGTTCTGAGGCTGGTTGTTGCCAATGATCCACGTCATGCTCTCAAATTTTTCCAAGAAGAGATAACATAGTTTGTCCCTTTGCACCATCTCCAGGCCATTCCTGACCTTGCAGATATCCACCATATACCCTTCATTGTGTTTGTTTAGTTTGTTTAGAGATTCCCCCCCACAGGAAAGTCCTGGCTTATTTAGCTGATCCTCATGCAGAAGCCATTCCATAAATTTGATTATCATCTTCCATTTTGTACTGCACTTCCTCCAATTATAATCTGTCTTTTCTAGATGAGTAGGCAGAGTTCAAGATGCAGATAAAGCTTGGACTTATATGGTAGGAAAAAAGAGGTTCTCTGTTCCTGTGTCAGAAGTCCCAGCATTCAGTTTCATTTTGAGCACTGCCAAGCAGCGAGATGATGTTTTCATTGTATTTTCACAGCCTGAAGAACTCATTCCTGAGGTTTCTATTAAGGGAATCTTGTGGATTGTTACCCAACAGAAGCAGTGGTTTCATTTAGCTTCTTGCAGTGACTTTATTGTCACTGAGCATGGCCTCTTCTGTCAGGATCCTCTGCTGGCCTTCAGACTTTATAGCAGGTTTCCAGCGCCTGATGTGCTTGAAGATTTATTTTTGTCTCATATTTCTTTATCTTGTGCTTCCTTAAAATGTTCTGACTTTTTTTTCTTTGGGTGGAGAAGACAATGGTGCTATAGGACAGTGCTCTTCTAGCACTGAATTCCCTCAAGCAAGGTGTACCATGCAACCTGTTCTTTACAATGCAACATTTAAGGCTTAAACTACAAACTATGTATCTGGATGCAGTTGTATTATTTGCATATAGGCAGCCACTTGCTCCAGAGCCCAATGTGCAAATACACACACCTCACCCCAGGGTGCTGCACCAACCATACGCTGTACCTTCCTTCCCATACCTCCCTGCCCCATTTATCATCCCTTTTTTGTTTAAAAAACATTGCAGTTAACGTTCTCCTTTGCTGGATGCTTTACAAAAAGTAGTTATATTTTTCATGTATAATGCATGCATTTAATTGCCTACCACACAGAACACAGTCCTGCAAGTGCACAGGAGAGATCTTGTCAAAGTAATAAATAATTGTCCCCAGCCCAAAGAAATGATTGATGGACCCTTACTTTCATTTGCTTCCTGGCTTTTTCCTTAGTGGACCTTCTACAATAAAAATCAGATATTGTTTTCTCAATAGCCACGAAATGCTGAATGCACAAATGCTTTCTAGCTCCATGCTTCAGCTCCTGCTGCTCCTCAGAACACTGTGCTGTGCCTGTGGCAGAGCTACAGCACGCAGTGCATTAATCATTGGGGAACGCCGTGCCAGAACTAGGTAGTAGCTTTACTAACATTTGTGCCATTAAAGACCAGGAAATAAAAATTGAGCTTTAACAATCTTGTTAAAATAATAGTTGTCCTAGGAGAGCTCAATACGTCAAGTGTTTGACAGCACAACAGTTCAAAATGTACAGGTAGGAACAAAGCACACAACGTTAGGGCTGGTAGCAGCTCTGTGTTGTTACCAGGTCAGTTGAGGACTCCTTACCATACAAAAGGCTATGCACACAGAGGGCTCTCCAGAAGCTCAGCCACCAGCAGAGGTACAAGCGGTGCCAATAGGGAAGACCTTCCTCCCTATTTTTTTCCAGATGTATTTTTTGAGCTCCATAGTTTTTCACTTGCTGCTTTATGCTATACCATGACTTTCTTTCTTCAGAGACATAACTACTTTTTTTTTTTTTACATTTAGTTTGTGACGCATTTGGAAAACATGGAGAGCTCTACTGCATTTACCCACACTGTAACATCCTTTATTCCTTAACTGAATAAACAGTTTCCATTTCCTAATGTAACATTCATGGAGAAAACTAAATGAATGGCGAGGAGAAATGGTTTCTAACTAAAAGAAGGGTGATTTAGATTGGATGTAAGTAGAAAGGCTTTTTTTTGTTTGCTTGTTTTTAAAGGATAGGAAGGCACTGGCATAGGTTGCCCAAAGAAGTAGTAGAAGCCTTGTGTCCAGAGACAACACCAGGCCAGACCAGGCTCTGAACACCTGACCAAGTTGTAAATGTTCCTGCTCATTGTAGGGGAGTTGGATTAGATGACCTTTAAGGGTCCCTTCCAACTCAAACGCATCTATGATTTCATGACCATTTATCAATGGATAAATAGCTAGATTTAATGACAAGCTTCTTGAATGACAAGCTGACTTGAATAATAAAACATTTTACACAAATGCACACAAAATTATCCACAATTAATGGCTACATTGAACAGAAAAGAGTAGGTTGATGAGAGGGAGAGTTATACAGAAACAATCTATTTTTTTTGCAGAAATCCACAATATGTTTTTCATACTTTGGTCCCACAGATTCTGGCACAGAACAATTTCTCATTTTATAATTCTCCTTACACTTTCTCTCCCATCTTGAAACTAAAAATAAGAAGGAAATAAATTTGGAACCATAAAACTTTTATCTTCTAGCTGAGTTCACATAAAGGAGAATAAAGAATCAATGACACTTCATCACTAGAAAACCAGTGACGGGAGAACTGCTCCTTTCTGACAAGAGCATTTCAAATTTCCCCAGTCAACATCCTGACCTGGTGTGGAATAGTTACAGCACAGGAGCACAGAGTTCAGAGATAATCCCTAAAACACCAGATTATAAATATTATGTCCACAACAGTAAGCACTGAGTTGTTGCCTTGAGTCCACCTGTAAAATTGGCCAAAATTCCAGCTGCTGCCTGAAAACAGATTTCTCTGTTTGTTTCAACCTCAATATTTTGAAGGTAATCTAATAATACACTCATTGAAATTCAAAGAGTTTAGACTCGTAATCTAATTGCTTAAATACAATCAAAAAGCATGTTGTGGTGGTGCTTTTTTGTTTGTCTTTGCAAAGCTACAGCACTTCAGCCCCATAATATAGCATGCTCTAAAAGACGACAACAATTTTTTGTTCAGACTGGTAGAAATACAAAAGCAGGGCTGACACAACAATTTCAAAAATACAGAAGCACACAACAGTTTTAAGATAGACTTCATTTAAGTTCACTCATTAGGTTGCACGTCCTTATCTCTGTAATGTTACCCTAAAGCCTTGCACCCTCAATCTGG